AGGATTTTTTTCAAAAAATTTCCTAAGTGTTTTGGATTCCTTTGAGGTGCTTCCGTTTTTAGCCTTGACCGTAGTGTCCGTTCCGTCCAGGCGTTGGCGTCCTTATCGTCCTGGCCTTGGATTCATCCCAGGTGTTTTAGGCAGGGCCGTTGTCGGCTTGTATCCCTGTGTTCTGGCCGATGAGGGCACCTTCACCATAATCTTGTGGACTTTGAATTTTTCACAAGTACACATGTAGAGGTGTAGGTGGTTAACGGCTTTGTAGTATGCTGGTACCCGCTTCGGCTAGAATGCCTTCATTTGGGTACTTAGATAATTTCCTGAGTAGAATTGTCAGGTGTTTACGTCTTTGCGGTGCCATTGCCGGCCAAGGTCTGGCTTGTGGCCGATAAGGGTGCTGGATAAGGAGTAGCTTGTCCAAGGAGATGGTCCTGTATTCGTCGGCTAGCTACGGGTCCAGTGCCTGCGTCGGCCATCCGAGGTGTTGTGGCAATTAAAGGTTTCTTGATTACTTGATAAGTGCCCGCTTCGTCCTGGTCGTCCTCAGGATTGCGGTGCTGTTTCATACCAAACGTTGGTGCCTCCAAGGACTATGGCCGATGAAGGTCACCTCTCGCGTGTCACCCAACCGATGTGGTTAGGGTTTTAAAGGCGTGTGTATCGGCCTTGATTGTTCCGTTGTAGTTTGTGGACGTGTCGTCCATGTTGCCTGTCAGTGGTACTACACTCGTGCTTAACTGATATGTACTTGGCCAAAATGGGCCTGAATTTGTGGGGATTTTATTTTTTCCTTGCTCGAGGCCGGCAAGTGTGCGCGGCCGTCGGCTTCCCTCTTTTTCCCTTGTATATATTCTTTTTTTTTTTTTTCATTTCGGGGGGTATCCTTCTTTCAGGCTTCGGCCGAAGGGTGTGCTCGTCCTTCGGCCGGTTCGGACTTCGTTTATAACGTCCGTGGTCTCAAGGCGGGTCCCGTCGCCTATTTATGACGCGGGCTAGACTTTTGGTCGGTTTCCAACGGCTGTCGTTGCCCTTCCCTGAGTTTTGGGATTTTGTCACCTCGGCCATGATTTCAGGCCTGTCGTCCTGCGTTCTGGCGCGTGGACGACGCGGTGAGCTTCCCGTTTCAAGACGTGGGCCGTTTGCGGGCCCCTCGTCCTGGGGACATCGTCGGCCATACCTGAGCGTTTCACTTCTAGGCTTACGGGGCCAGGACGATGTGCTCTCTCAGCTAGGCCTGAGCCCTTCGCTGATACAAAATACAATGGAGTGCCTGAGCTTGTCGCTCGTAGGCTGCAAATACAAGGGGCCATGTCGGCCAGACCTGAGCCTTCTGCTCTAAGGTGGCCGACGAGGGCACCTGCCAATGTTTTACTTTAAATTCCAGAGAAAAAATCAGAACATGATTTTATTCATAAGTGGCTCGAGGCCGAGGGTGGCGTTCAATCAGTAACCCGTTAAGGGGTGAGGGCTTCGCCGTCTACACCTCCTTCGGATTACTGATAAAACTTCACCAGATGATGTACATTCCATGTTCGTGGTACATTGGACCCATTCGGGCGTTTAAGCTTGTAGGTGCCAGGTTTGACCATGGCACTGACGATGTAGGGCCCTTCGTACTTCAATGCTAGCTTGCCGCCCTCTGTTGGCTGGCTTGCTTCCCTTCGGCGGAGGACGTAGTCCCCCACCTGAAATTCCCGGGAACGTACCTTGGCGTCATAGTATGATTTCACTTGACGCCGGTAGTTCTCTGCTCGGACGTAAGCTTGCTCACGCCTCTCATCAACCAGATGTAGGTCAATCTTCATGTTCTCTTCGTTGGTGTCAGGCTCATATTGCTCCACTCGCCGGCTGGGGATGGCTACCTCCGTGGGCGCCTTCGCCTCAAAGCCGTAGCACAGGGCGAAAGGTGTTTCGCCTGTCGCCCTCCTCGGCGTGGTTCTGTAGCACCACAGGATGTTGGGGAGCTCGTCGACCCAACTACCTCCTGCGGCCTGGAGGTTCTTCTTCAGCCCCTCCATTATTGTTCTGTTGGCGTTCTCAACCTGCCCGTTGCCTTGAGGATAGGCAACGGAGGAGAAGCGGTGCCTCACCCCAAACTCCCGGAGGAGCTCCTGGAAAGGGGCTGCCTCGAATTGGGTGCCGTTGTCTGAAATAATCTCCTGGGGGACGCCAAAGCGTGTAATGATGTTCTTGTAAACAAATCTTTGGCATCTGGCCCCCGTGATGCTGGCCAAGGGTTCCGCCTCGACCCACTTGGTGAAGTAGTCGACGGCGACGATGATGTAGCGGTTATTACCGGTGGCTCTGGGCAGGGGGCCGACCAGGTCAATCCCCCACCTGGAGAATGGAATTGCGGTGCTGACCGGGGCATAGTTGACAGCTGGCCGACCAGGGGCCTTCTGGAGTACCTGGCATGTGGTGCACTTCCTGGCCAGGTCAGCGCAGTCCCGTGCCATCGTCGGCCAGAAGAAGCCCTGGACGACGAGACGCCGGGACATGCTGAAAGGACCCTGGTGCGAGGAGCAGACGCCACAATGAACTTCTTCCATGGCGGTATCGGCCTCGTCCTGGTGCAGGCATCGGAGGAGAGTGCCATTGTAGGACCGTTTGTAGAGTTTGCCATCTTCTATGGTGTAGCTTGGGGCCCTGAGCTTGGCAAGTTTGGCCCTCTCCTCGTCCGGGGGCAACTCCCCCGTTGTGATGAAGGTGGTGATGTCGGAGATCCAGTCCTCTGGTCGCTGGTGGACGCACAAGACGGGGCTGGCATGGATACTGGACATGCTCAACTCCTCGATCTTGGCCAACTGGGAGATGTGCTCCGGGGTGTCCGAGCTGAGCTTGGAGAGGATGTCGGCTTCGGCGTTCTCGGCCCTGGGGATTGAGTGATCTCGTGGGTTTCAAACGCTTTCAGCAATTCCTCCGCCGCTTGTTTGTACTGCTTCATCCGGCCTTCCTTTGCTTCGTACGATCCCTCCACCTGGCCCACTACCAGTTTGGAATCGCACTTGATTCTGAGGTGCTTGGCTTTGAGGCCGGCGGCGAGTCTGAGGCCGCTGAGGAGGGCCTCATACTCGGCTTCGTTGTTGGATACCCTGAAGTTGAAGCGGATGGCATAGTAGGCTCTGAATCCTTCAGGGGATATGAGGACGCCGCCGCCGCCGCATGATTTCGCGGCCGACGAGCCGTCAGTGAACAGGGTCCACGTGTCGTCCGGCTCCGGCCCGGGGTTGGCGACGGCCGTCTCCCTTGCTGTGCATTCGATGACGAAGTCGGCCAAGGCTTGCCCTTTGATAGATGGCCTTGGCTTGATCTCAATCTGAAACTGGCTGAGGAAGATCGCCCATTTCACCATCCTCGAGGAGCTAGTGGGGCTCCTCATGAGCGCGCCGAGAGGCTGCTGGGTCAGCACATGGACGGTGTGGGCTTGGAAATAGTGCCCTAGCTTCTTTACGGTGTGGACGATGGCCAGTACCGTCTTCTCAATGGGGGAGTACCTGAGCTCGGCCTCCCTAAGTGTCTTGCTGATGTAGACGATGGCCTTCTGCACCCCTTCGTCCTCACGGATGAGCACGGAGCTGATGGCCGACGTGCTCACCCCTAAGTACAGGAAGAGGGTTTCGCCGGCTTTGGGCTTGGAGAGTATGGGTGGGGACGACAGGTACCTTTTCAATTCGTCGAATGCTTCCTGGCACTCCGTCGTCCACCTGAAGCTGGTTGCCTTGCGCATGATCAGGAAGAAAGGGAGTGCCCTCTCAGCTGACCTAGAGAGGAAACGGTTTAAGGCCGCCAGGCGCCCCGTCAGTCGCTGTACCTCCTTGACGTTGCGGGGCGGCTCCATGTTGATGATGGCCTGCGCCTTCTCTGGGTTTATCTCGATGCCTCTCCGGCTGACCACGTAGCCAAGGAACTTGCCGCCTTGGACGCCGAAGGCGCACTTCTTGGGGTTCAGGCGGAGCCTGAATTCCTTCATGATTTCAAAGATTTCCCGGAGGTCGTCGGCGTGGGAGGTGGCCTGCCTGCTCTTGACGATCATGTCGTCGACGTACGCCTCCATCGTCCGGCCAAGGACCGCTCTGAAGATTTTGGCTACCATCCTAGTATAGGTGGCACCAGAGTTTTTGAGTCCGAAGGCCATGACGAGGTAGCAAAATATTCCCTCTGGGGTCATGAATGCCGTCTTCTCGGCGTCATCTTCGTGCATGGAGATCTGGTGGTACCCTCTGAAAGCGTCGAGGAACGACATCAACTCGCACCCTGCCGTCTCGTCCACCAACTGATCAATGTTGGGGAGAGGGAACGGGTCCATGGGGCACGCCTTATTCAGGTCAGTGTAGTCAACACACATTCTGAATGTCGGCGGTTTCTGTGCGAGGACGACGTTGGCCAACCATGTTGGGTACTTCACCTCTTTGATATGTTTGATCGACAGGAGCATGGCGACCTCCCCTTTGACGAAGTCCCGCCTGTCAGCGGACAAGTAGCGCTGCTTCTGTTTGACGGGCGCGGAGGCCGGATCGACGGTCAGCCGGTGAGTGATCACCTGGCGGCTGATGCCGGGCATATCGTCCGGGCCCCACGCGAAGACAACGGCGTATGACCGTAGGACGAGGAGGATGGCGTCTCGCTGGTCCTGGGGGAGTTGCTTTCCGACCCTGAGAACCCGTTCCGGCCGGGAGGTATCCAGAGGGATTTCCTCGACCTCCTCGGCCGGCTCCGCATGTGGCCTCTCCTCGTCCATGGCGACGGCGGCCGTGATGGTGTCTATCCGCTGTCCTTCCCTTTCGGCCGGCCTCGTCAGCTTGAGGTAGCAAGCCCTGGCTATCCTCTGATTTCCTCTGGCGTAGCCGATGCCGTCATTGGTGGGGAACTTCAAGCATAGGTGCTTCATGGAGATGATGGCCTCCATGTCCTCCAGCTCTGGCCGGCCCAAGATCAGGTTATGGGCGCACTGGAGGTTGACCACCATGAACTCCATGTTAATTTTGGCATGGTGGGGGCCGTCACCGACTTCCACGGGGAGGACTATCGTGCCCTCGGCGTCGATAGAGTCCCCGGTGAAGCCGGATAACGGGGTCTTGATCGGCTTCAGCAGAGCTCTGTCCAGCTTCAGCTGCTTGAAGGTGTCCAAGTACATCACATTGACGGAGCTCCCCGTATCGATGTAAGTACGGTGGATGATGGAGTCCCCGATCTCACATCGGATGACGAGGGCGTCCCTGTGTGATTCCGTACCCGGAGGCAGATCCTTGTCGGTGAAGGTGATCGCCTCCGTTCGCTGCTTCTTCGGCTGGGGGGGAACGTGGGACACCTCCCCAATGTAAAGGGATTGGGCCCACTTCTTTCTCTGAGTGGCGGAGTCCCCCCCAGTGTTTCCACCCACGATGAGGTGGATGTGATTTTTCTTCGGCGACGGCTCCTCGAAGTCCTCGTCGTCGCTGAGCCTACCAATCTCGCGCTTCTTAGCAGAGGGTTCGCCCCCACGTTTGCCGGTGTTTACCCAAGTGTTTTTCCGTGGGCCACCTTTGACAAACTGGGAGAGTTCCCCCTGGCGAATAAGGCGCTCGATGGCCTTCTTCAGTGTGATGCAATCGTCGGTGTTGTGCGACGAGTTCTTGTGGAACCGGCAGTATGTGCCGCCCTGCTGGATGGCAAGGATCTCCTCGGCCGGCCGAGGAGCCTGCTCGATGAGGCCGTGCTTCTCGGCATAGTCGAGGATGGTGCCAACCGGGTGGGTGAGGGTTACCCCCGGCCGTTCCAGCCTCGGCCGCCAGTGGCGGTCTTTCTTACTTTGTCCACCAGAGCCGTGGCGGCCCTGGGCACCCTGGCCGGCCGGGGACGGACCCGAGGCCGGCGAAGGATTTGTCTTCTTGGGGGGATGGCCCCCCTCTCTCTTGTGATTGTGGAGCTCGTCGGCGTCGGCATACAAGCCTCCGCGTTGGAGCGCCTTGGCGTACGACCTCGGGGGGTCAATGATGAGGCTCCTGGCGTACGGGGAGCTGCGGAGGGCTCCCTGGTACAAGGCGAGGAGGGTGCGCTCGTCGGCCCCCTCGACCTCCTCGGTCTCCCTCGTCCACCGGTCGATGAATGACCGGAGGGACTCCTCGTGCTGCTGTTTGACGGAGAGGAGGTGGGTGAAATACTTCTTGGCGCGCTTCCTCCCGGCAAAGTGAGTGAGGAAGCGCTGGGCGAGATCTTGCCATGAGTCAATGCTTCCCTCTGGCAGCCCGTTGAACCACTCGTACGCTGGCCCCTCGAGAGTAGAGAGGAACCAACGGCAGAGGTATTCGTCGGACGCGTTCACCATCAGCATGTTGTTTTGATAACGGCTGAAGTGCTCCTGGGGGTCTGATCGGCCATCGTAGGACTTGATGGCGTTCCCCCTGTACTTCTCAGGGATGGGGGCCGAGAGGACCCTGTTGGTGAAAGGGGTCCTAGTCCTGACCTGGATGATGGGGTCACCCCGCCCTTCGGCTAGCTCCCTCTCCAGGGCGCTGACTTTGTTCATGAGCGCGTTGAGGCCGGGGTCGTTGGAGGCGCCGGCCGTAGGGACGTTGGCCGACTGCTTGGCCTCCATCTGAGCCAACCTCCTTTCCAGCTGGGCGATGACCTCGTCCCGGGGGTCCCTATCGGCCGCAGCGGCGCCCGGCTGGTTCCTCAGGCGCTCGTTGTGAGCCGCGTTGATCTGGTGACGCGCGTCATCCTCGTGTAACTTCCCCTTGCCCTTGTCCGGGCGGGGCTGGTCCGCTGTCCGGGATACAGACCCCAAACTTTCCCTTGGCGAGCCAGGACGAAGATCACCAATCCGTCCCGCCATCCTCTCCGAAACCGGACGACGGCGCGTGTCACCTAGCCTATTAAAGGCAGAGGCTTTTCCACGCGCTGGGGTCTGCCCGGGCCGAAGAGGGGAAGCAGGGTGGGAGTGGGACGACGCCGTGTCCTGGGCCACAACCCCCTCATTGTTGCCTATCTGGTCGGCCAGTGGTTGGGGATGAGGAGGTGGAGTGACGTTTCCCCCGGTCCTTGGCAAGAGTGCGCTGAGGACGGTGGGATTCTGAGCCAAGCTGGCGATGATGACCGATAGTGCGGCCTGGACCTGAGGATCTACGGACGGAGAGGCCGCGGCCATAGGCTGGGCCGGGGCGTGGTCCGCTTTCTCGGCTCGTTTCTTTTCCAGGCCGAGGCGGGCGTCGGGGACTCCGCCGTTGAGTTGGTTGCGGAGGTCCGTCGTGAGGTTGAAGGTTTCCTGGAAGAGGTCCCCTCCGCCGACCTGGTCGGCCGTGGCGTCCTCATCGTGCTCCCTGGCCTCTTGGTCCTCAGGGATGGCTTTGCTGACGAGGTTGCGGTTTGACTTAGTTCTCCCCATGATCAGTGGTTAGCTGTGCTTGGTAGCGACGAAGGGTGCTAACTTGATTGTTCTAGCTCTCAAAGAGAGCACCAAATGATGGAGTATTTAACTCCTTAGATTCTAGAGAGAAGTGAGAGCTAGAGAGAGAAGTGCAATATATGCTTCAATAGAATGATTTTGTAACCCCTATAACTACTCCCAAGGGGAGTATTTATAGAGAAAATTAGGGTTGGGCTCCCAAGCCTTGGGCTTGGGAGGCCCATTTACAACTGGACCGCTACTGGGCCGAATACAAAGCCATTAATGGGCTGTATAAATGAGTAAGTATAGGATCCGATTCTGGGAGGTCCTCGTGGCCGACGAGGGCACGGCCGACGAGGGCGCGGCCGACGAGGGCACCCGAGTCCCTCAGACTCAGGACCGTAATCTGAGTTGGCTTCTTCTCGGCCGACGGGGGCGTCTTGGCCGACGAGGGCGCCACTCTGTTGTCTTGTGCTCTGTTCTTCCGAGTATGTGGGTCCTGGGGCTCAGACCCATATACTCCATCAGTTACATGTGTGATTAAAAAATTGGCTGATAAGCTTGATAAGCCGAAAAACAGAGTCATCAAAATATGTCGTAAATGCAAAGCTCATTTCTTTATTTTAAAGTTAGTGAATTCCAACAGAAATACCAATATTTATAAACAATCATAGTAATATTTATAATGAGATCGAAGTAAGAGAATAATCATCAGTGCGCACAATAGTAATGATTAATACTAATAATTATAATTAGTGTCATACTGTCATAGTTGTTAACTTGTTATCAACTTATCATGTTATTGTCGAAGTAATAATCTTAATTTTTACTTAAGTATACTTCATCCGTATCAAAATAACTTTCCTATATTTTTTTCCGTGTTGTATTAAGTTAATTGTCATATATTCCCTTTTTAAAAAGTCATCCTAAATTAATTGAAGTAATAGTCTATTATACTACTACAATCTTTATTTTTGTAAGTGTACAATTAACCTATAATCAACGGCAGACCCATAGAGGGGCAAATATTGTGCCCACTCTGGACTCCTTAGACTACTCCGCAATTTTTTAAGACAACTCTCCTGGTCCAAGTTCAAATAACATGGCTGAAGAACCTATCACTACTACTTCTCGTTCAGTTGACATAGATGTCTCTATCCCAGCTGAGTCTGCCAGCGCACCCACATCCAGCACGCTACTTTCGTGAGTTTCGTCTTCCGACAATGCTGGGACAGTGGAAGCCTTGGGTCGTGGTCAACGTCGCAAAATGCCACCGGTCAAACTACAAGATTATGTCACTAACACAATCTTCACTAGTCCATTCTCTCACAACCCGCCTCCAACGTCTTCTTCAGGTACGCCGTTCCCTATAGCACACTATATTAGTTGTGATCGTTTTTCTACAAAACACCGCGTATTCCTTGCCTCTATTTCCGCAAGGAACGAACCTCGGTCTTTCCGTGAGGCTATGACTCATCCAGGTTGGCGTGCTGCCATGAGCTCTGAAATAAGAGCATTGGAGGACAATGGTACATGGATAATGGCCAGTCTTCCTCATGGAAAACGTGCTTTAGGGTGTAAATGGGTATATAAAATTAAATACCACTCGGATGGGAGGATTGAACGACTCAAAGCATGTTTGGTTATTCTTGGCAACCGTCAGGTGGAAGGCTTAGATTATACTGAAACCTTTGCTCATGTGGCCAAGATGGTCACTGTGCGGGCTTTTCTGGCAATTGTTGTATCCAAAAACTGAGAGCTTCATCAAATGGATGTACATAATGCATTCCTTCATGGAGATCTCGATGAAGAGATATATATGACGGTGCCACCGGGTTTCAAGACTTCGGACTCTCATTTAGTCTGTCGCCTTCGAAAATCCCTTTACGGTCTAAAACAGGCTCCCCCGTTGTTGGTTCGCTAAATTGGTGACTGCTCTGAAGAATTACAGGTTCTCTCAATCTTTTGCGGACTACTCTCTTCTTACTCGCACTCGCGGGAATGATCAGTTGAATGTTCTTGTATACGTGGACGATTTGATAATTTCTGGCAATAATTCTGAGGGCATTCGGGTATTTAAAGAGTATCTCAGTACTTGTTTCCATATGAAACATTTGGGATCTCTCAAATACTTCCTTGGCATAGAGGTTGCTCGTAGTCCGTCTGGCTTGTTTCTTTCACAACGCAAATATGCCCTTGATATTATCTCCGAGACTGGTTTACTCGGAGCTAAACCTTCTTCCTATCCTATTGAGCAACACCATAAGCTGGCTCAAGCTACTGGCGCTACTATACCAGATCCTGAGTCCTATAGACGGCTTGTTGGTCATCTAATTTACTTGGTCATGACTCGGCTCAATCTTACTTATTCTGTTCACATTTTATCACAATTCATGTAGGACCCGAAACAAGAGCACTGGAACGCTGTCTTACGTGTGGTCAGATATCTTAAAGGCTCCCCAGGATAGGGTATTCTACTCCATGCTGATAGCTCTCTTAACCTCATCGGGTGGTGTGACTCTGACGGGGCGGCTTGTCCTCTCACCCGCAAATCGGTCACCGGTTGGCTCATATTTTTAGATGGATCTCCTATTTCATGGAAGACCAAGAAACAAAATACCGTGTCCCGATCTTCCGCCGAAGCAGAATATCGCTCCATAGCTGCCGCTACTTGTGAGCTGAAGTGGTTAAAAGCTTTGCTTCTGAGCCTGGGTGTTAATCATTCGCACTCTATGCCTCTATATTGTGACAGTTAGTCAGCTATTCACATTGCTCGAAATCTCGTGTTTCATGAACGTACGAAACATATTGAAGTGGATTGTCACTTTGTACGTAATGCGGTTAAGGATGATCTTATTGATTTGCATTATGCTCCTACCGCTACTCAATTAGCGGACATCTTCACTAAGGCCCTTGGTCGGAGTCAATTTCATACGCTACTTCGCAAGTTGGGCATTTTGAATCCCCATGCTCCAACTTGAGGGAGGTATTATTCAGATATATCTATTTA